GAAGGGGCCGGCGCCGGGGCCCGTGAGGCCGCCGCGCTCCCGCCGCTCGCAGCCGGGCCCGCGGGCCCCGCGCCGGGCGCACGATGCCGCTGGGGCTGAAGCCCACCTGCAGCGTGTGCCGCAGCACGTCCTCCTCCATGTGGAAGAAGGGCGGGCAGGGCGAGATCCTGTGCAACAACTGCACGGCGCGCTCGGCGCCGCCCGCACCCGCCGCCTTCGCCACCACCTCGGCCGCCGCCCAGCACAGCAACGGGGGCGGCGGCGGCGGCGGCGGGAAGCAGGTGGGAAGGGTGACAAGGGTGAGGGTGACGGGGTGAGGATGAGCAGGGTGAGGGCGAGCAGGGTGAGGGCGATGGAGCTGCCGGGGCTGGGCGGGGCAGGGGTGTTTCAGTGTTCCCCCCGCGTGTTCATCCCGCCGTTCCCCCCAGAGCAAGCAGGAGATCCACCGCCGCTCCGCGCGGCTCAGGAACACCAAGTACAAGTCGGCGCCCGCCGCGGAGAAGAAGGTTTCCACGAAGGGAAAGGGCAGGAGGCACATCTTCAAGCTGAAGAACGTAAGTCGGTGTGTGGCGGAGCGGGGCGGGGACGGGAGTGGGTCCGGAGCCTGTGCCGGGCTGGGGCGGACCGGGAGCCCGCAGGAGGGGCTGTAAATATAAAGCGGTCACGAGAGTTCTGCCCTCGCTTCTCCACGTAAAGTCCTGGGGATGAAAACTGAAAACGCTGTTGTTTTCAGTTTTAAAGTAAAAGTTCTTGTGTTTGTAATTTTCTTAGAGAATAATATATCAGTATGTTGTCTAAAAAGAAAAAAAAAAATCCTGGTATTTTATGGTTGGTTGGTTTTAACGCTCTTGATTTTCTCTTTCTATGTTCTTTTCTTAGCCCATCAAGGCTCCTGAGTCCGTATCCACTATAATTACAGCAGAATCAATCTTTTATAAGGTATGGTTAATGCAAATCTGTTTGCAAAAATCATGCTGTCTCTGTTTTGAATTTCAAGAATTATCACAGACAGTGAAAGCACTAGGGATATATTTACAGAAACTGTTCTTCCTTGCCTAGCAGTTGTGTAGGATTTTGTTTTGCCTTAGTTATTGCTTTTAAGTCTTGCAAGGTAGTTTACCTAAGTAGTTTACGTAGTTACCATTGTCCCATTTGTTGTTTTTTTCTTTCAAGAAAAAGATGCATCTGGTTTCCTTAGTTTTTGCAATCAACATTTTTAAACTTTTTGATTTTCACATTGCAGAGGTCAAGCAAAACTGACTAGAGCTGACTGTGTAGATTTGTGTAATGTTTCCTACCTTAGGCACAGAGGATATTGCCCATAGAGGGGATGAGCTGCAGTGCCCCAACATCTAAACTGGTTCCTGTTTCCAAGCTGATGGAAGCAGTCTCAAACACCCGGGGAACAAGATCTGTGGACTTCTGCAATGAAAGCAGAAGGAGGACTTCTCACATCATTCATGCTTGAGGGCACCTTCACCAGTATGCCAAGATGTTAGGGTTTTGAGGTTCTGAAATTTGCTTCTGTTTCCCAGCAGTACAAGCAAACTATTTGAATTGTTTTTCCCCCCAGAGAAAATTTCAGGATAGTCACTGGAAGACTGTGCAGCCAGTGGTGGACTGAGATTCTATATACTGTCTATGGACCTGATGCTTCACACCTGACATCCCAGATGAATGTTTGTTGTTGACTAGTTCAGAAAACAATTACTGACTTGTGTGTTTTTAGCAGAAATTCCTAAGAATTATAACAAAACTTCAACTTAACCTCCATATGCAAAATATTGCTGGTTTGGTACTTTACTGTGTTGTTGTGAAGGGGATTTTTGGGGGGAGGGGTTGTGTTCTTCTTATCTGTTTTAAAAATAAAAAACAACTCTCCTGGATGATTCTTGACTAATTGATCTTGACAGTGCAGGGGCTGCATTGGGCTCTGCAACACCACTGCAGCTTGGAGTGAGTCGCCTCTGATGTGCAGCCTCAAATGTTAGAGAGCACCGTGGAAAAGGGCAGGAGGTGGATCTGTGTTTTGGAACTCTTTTGCACTCAAATGAGTGAACTTCTTCATACACAGAAAGCTGCTTCCCCTGCACACACAAGGAAACCACTACAGTTGCTTTTCCTAGAAGGTGGTGTTGCACTCTTCTGCTTTTGACAGAATGAGACCATCTTGCTCTGCAGTCAGGAGTTGTAGCCTCAAACTCCTGGATATTGGGGGACTGCACAAGCAGTGCTGATGACTGGTTAGGTGAAACAGCTGTCTTTCTTAGGCCATCCTTCTTTTGCATGTGGCTGAATTAAAGCTGCCTTTCAAGACCGGCGTAATTTGAGATGAAATTTTAGGTATCAATACCTAAAATGTGAATCAGAATCACAGAGTGAAGCTGACAAAATCAGGTTGTTTGATTTCAGTGTAATTTGTTTGTCTTCTAGGGTGTATACTATCAAATTGGAGATGTTGTCTCAGTGGTTGATGAGCAGGATGGGAAAACATACTACGCTCAGATCCGTGGGTTTATTCAGGACCAATACTGTGAAAAGAGTGCTGCACTAACCTGGCTCATTCCTACACAAGCCAGCCCCAAAGACTGTTTTGACCCAGCATCCTATATCATAGGTAATTTCTAAGCCTTCACTTTACACAAGTGTTGTATGTGGCTAGACTAATGCAGAATTGTATTTTTTAAATGAACTTTTTAGATTCTCATTTAATTTGTGCAAGTTCCACATTTAAGACCCTAATCCTGTAAGCATTTACTGTAATAGCATTTATCTTGTGTGAATAATATGATTAGCACTACTGCAGTGAGTGTGATTATCTTGTACTGTGATTATCTGAGTGTGCTCATGGGGGCAGTTACACTTTTGGGACTTTAAAGATCAAATTATTATTCCATAGGTAGGTTTATACTGTAGTAACTTTGATTCTGATATACCAGTCCAAGTTGTTTCTTTTAAAGTGACCTGAATTACCTGATCTTTATCCTGGGTATTTAAAATACACTGTGTGCAAGCACTGGCATAGAGAGTGTTTTGCTAACAATAAGAAAACTATTAATAATTCAGAAAAATCCTTTTGACAGGCAGGCCACAAAAATAGCATTCAAAATAACATACATTCAAAATAACTACAGTACTTCACATAAATAACTGAATGCTTCAGATGAAGGGGAAAAAAAAGACCAGCCCAGCAAAAATAAAGGTAGATGTTTATTGCCTAGTATTTTAGGTCCCTTGGCCAGGAAAGTCATTGATTGCAAAGGCATATTCTCTAACTGTTGTTGTTGCATATTTTTGAGTCCTGCCTACTCCAACTTTATGCCTTTAAATTTTGTCTTTGATGATTTATTTTTTTTCCTAGGACCAGAAGAAGATCTCCCAAGGAAAATGGAATATTTAGAATTTGTTTGTCACGCGCCTTCGGAATATTTCAAATCTCGATCATCTCCCTTCCCCACAGTTCCTACAAGGCCAGAGAAGGGCTATATATGGACTCATGTGGGACCTACTCCTGCAATCTCCATTAAAGAAACTGTTACCAATAATTTATAATTTTTTTTAAGGAATACTTTGGACAGGTTATTTAGTGTGTATTCTCAGGCCTGTGAGCCTCATACAAGAATTTTTAAAAAACTATAAAATATGCCATTTAACTTTATGGATTACAGGATTTATTTATTTTAAATATATCATATCTTTAAAGAGGAAGTTTCCATTCCAGTTTATGCATCATTTCAGTGCTCTGCTCTTCAGACATTATTGCTCATTTTGGGACAAACCCACAAGTTTCATGTCATCTTTTGACTTCTGAAAGTTACCTTCAGTTTTCTTACTTTCTAAATTATTTTCCAGAAAAGGAGTTAAAAGACATAATCATCCAGCACTTTATATACTTGTTTAATTTAGTTAACTGACTGCAGTTATTTACTTGTTAAATAATTTAAGACTAGGTTCAGATAAACACTAAACATGGTCAGTGATGGGTTAATGATTTTCTGTTACGTGGAAAGGAGTGATCTCCCTGGATTTCTCCAGACTGAAAACTCTCATCTGCAAGGAGGGACTTGTATTTAACAGTTATCTTTTAAGGTGAATCTGAATCTGAAACGTAACGTATGTAGCTTTCTGCTGAACTTTACATAAATTTCTTGGAAAGCTGGATGCAAATTTAAAAATTAATGTTATTTGGCTTTGCCTTCCCGGCATCCTCATGGCAGGAATGTATCTACATTTCCGGAGCAAGCCAACACTGAGGTATGATTTGAGTTTCAGATGGTTAATATTTGTGTGCACGTTAGCTTGGTCTCTTAAAATTGATTTTAAAATGTTTTTTCGGTCTTTCCAATTAGTGATGACTAAAAAAATCCTCAAGCAATTAAAATGAAAAAAAAACATTTGCTAAGGGAAATAAAAACTAATTTTATGTATTGACAGTCTCAGTATACCAATGAAAAGATGTAAATAGCAGAACAGGAGAAATGACACATACTAATGCCCAAGTTTTCTGCCCTAAACTTTTTACAAGCCAGTCAGCTCCAAACACTATGAGATGTGCTTGTATGGCCTTAATTCCCAGGGCTTACTGGTTCCTGCTGCCTGTGAAGGACAATAGGTGTAAGTGGCCTTAAATTTAAATGTACAGATCTTTTCAGCTTTTTGTTTTCTTTTTATGAACATATGTGACCATAGCACCCAGGAGCCCCAAACAATTTCAATATATTGTATGAAAGCCTGTAAAAGTTGCACTGGGCTTACGTTTTAACTTTTAGTACAGTGGGACTCATGAGAGCAGGAAGCAGATATTGTTTCAGCCTACAGCCTCTGTTATGCCCTCTTCAAATACCAGGAAGAACAGGTGGGAGTAGTTGCTGTTTACTGTCAATAGTTCAAAATGTTCCAAAGTTAGCAGTATATTGCTAATAGAGAGTTAAATTTTAATCTTCAGTTTCTTACAAAGATGAGATGTGCGCCCGTGTTCAGTGTGTTGCAGAAATTAATCCCAAGGTGACCTTGTCCTGTCCTTCCTCTCCTTTCTCTCCTTTCACTTCCTCTAGATTTTTTTCTGATTTATCTTTATTAAATTAACAACTATAAGAAGATAAAAATAACAACTCTTAAAAGATATGCATAGTAACCAGAATGATTTCCTCCACTAAAGCGTTTTCCTTCCTTTCTTTGCAGTCCACAGGGTTTTCACTTGGGATCACTGTAAAGTCACTGTGCTGCTCAGCATAATCCATGGACCTTTGCTTCTCTGTGGGCTGTCTTAGCTAGATTGGAATCATATCTTACCTTATTTATTTAGGTTGAAAAAACCTTTAAGATCATTGAGTCCAGTGAAGCTCAGGTGCTTTCCTTGTCAAATCCTCATAGGGAGAGGGAAGAAAACAATGCTTTCATTCACAGAATCGACTAGGTTGGAAAAGACCTCTGAGATCTTCCGAGTCCAACATCTGACCTAACACCACCTGGAAGTTTTGCTTTTTCGAGCTACACCATGAAAAGTACTTGCTTACCCTTTGCCTTATATTAAATTGTAATTTAAAAGGAACAATTAATTTTTAGTCAGAATACACCTTTCTTAAATTTAATGCTGCTGCTGATTCCAAGTATTATACTTCCAACTATAGTCCAAAAAGACAAAATTTTTTTTTTTTCAGAGAACTGTGGAACAACTTCTCTTAGTAAACACAGAGCATTTTTATTTTAGTTTTTTATTATACAGGGAAATGTAAAAAAATAATACAAATAGGCAAAAATTATGGTGATAAGATCTCTAAAGAGAGTGGATCCGCAAGCAGTGACTGTTATTAAAGCATTATAACTTTATTTATAGGTATTTGAATGGTTGCATTGTCCTGGTTTTCTTGTGTTCAGAACATCACCCAGTTACATGGGGAAATGACTGACTCTCCAGACAGCATCTTAGGGATGGAGATAGCTGAAGAATGAGACCTCTGAGAGCAGTGTCTCTCTCTGAAAATTTCCTATGTTAAAAAAATGAAGAACAAAAGGAAGACTTGCAAAATGGACTCAACAGCAGAAGGGATATCAAGATCCCATGGGATTGTGCTTCGATGCCCTGCAACTGAAGAAGCTGAGCAGGTCACCCATTTCTCTCCCTTTCCTTATTTGGCATCCCCTGTGCCAAAACGTAGGTAGGTTTCAAACTCGCATCACTGGACTGTAAGTGGATACACTACTGCTGAATTTATGGCCTTGTGTTAAGCTTCAGAGCTTTGTGACCAGCCAGCAGTTGTTTTCATTAAGGCATTTTAGTTCTAAAGATGGAACATGTTGCTAAGAGCTGAAATCCACGGAGCTTGTATAATATCACTGAGTAATGCATAGTACATGTGGTCTGTGCCCTGAGGCATAACACTGCAGCTCCTTCTGCCTGCAGGAAACTTGTGGGAGGAGTGGCCCACCCTTTCACCTGAACTTTACCAAAACAGTACATAGTGGAGAGCAGTTTGCGTTTGGGCAATGGCTTTGTTGGGAGCACAGTGCTACTCTCTTCTAGGAAAAAGTGATGCAAACACAATGGATAAATAAGCATGTGGCTCCTTGGGCTGCTTTTGAAATGAAGCAAGGGTTCCCCTCTTGCTGCCCTACTGTCCCACACAACAATCAGTCACCCTGGCAAAGTTTGGATACACACAAAACCCAGGAAACTGACCCCCGTGGTTTGGACTTAGCCATAGGTATCCAATCCAATCCGATAGCCTTGCTTTGAGGTAATGCAGCCTTATGAATATTATACAAGAAGCAAAGAGCACAATTTATTGTGATTGGCAATATATTGTATATTATGATAAATAAACACCTTAAATGGTCTTATAGAACTGAGAACAAAAATATTAATATAGTATTGTAGTTTCAACTGCTCTTTACACTTACTGAATTACAAAGATCAGAAAAATCATAATTTTATTCTGTTTTCACACAGATAGAATTGGTACATCTTTTAGCTAACAGAGTACATCTCTCCAAAATTATAAATGAGCATTATGTTCAAGTAGAAATACTTATACAGTAGTTAATAGTTGTTAATAGTTATTTTTGTGTGCCCCCCACCACAGAGTCTTGTGATCATTGACAACAGAATTTTGCATTTGGCAACTGTCTCACCCACACAGTCACACTCATTATTGGAAAATTGCTTTCTTTTTTTTTTTTTTTTTCAGCCCTTCTAGCTGGTGATTTGTTATTCTTGCATTTGGTTTACAGCTTCGGTGAGATTATTTTTCTTCTCTATTTCAGTAACTTCAGTCTCAATAACAACTTCTTCATGGACGACATCTCCAGGTGGTTCATGCATCTTTATGAAACACTGAAGTACTTTGATGTCTGTTTAACAAAACAGAAGTAAAACTGGAATCTAGTTGTGGACAGCTAGGTTGGTTTTACCTGAAAATACCAAGATTATCCTGTGCTGGGCGTTGCCCCTGTAGCTGACCCGGAACAGTAAACTCAGGCATCTGTTTGCTTACATATGACTATTTGGGCTCCTGCAAAATCTTCTGAACTCCTTCATTTAGGGAGAACAGAGCAGGAGTGTTCCTCTTTTTTCATTAAGCAGTTTAGGTTTTCTTTAGGGGCAAAGTTGCATTCTTTGGAGGACAGCAGGAACTGTGTTCATGGTCCTTGTGTCCACTTCCTTCCTGAAGACCATCCCCTCTGCCTTTTTTGGTGTAATGTACCTTGCTGTAAACCAGCCCTGTCAGCTGATCCAGGTTCAAAACACACACAAGCTATTTTTTTTTTGATTAACATAAATCTTTCTCTAGGGAATTTCAGTAGGAATGTTTATTTTTGTCTTCAGAAGGTCAAACTCTGATAATCCTTTTCAATGTTTGTAGTATCCTACACAATTGATGTTCCCTTTCATTCTGATTAGGTCACATTTTGATAAAATCACATGGTAAGGCTTCTTGTGGCAGTGAATCTGAATTATGTAAGCAGAATTTGGGAACCCCTTCTCTCCCAAGCCCAGATTTCAGTAGGCCATTAAGAATCAAAGCAAAGATAACCTGTCCTTTTAATCAGTGTGCCCTTCTCAGGAGTATCTATTTCCCAAATTGTGGGAATCTATGTAGGGAATTTTCTAGTTACCTCTCCTCAAGGAGTTAGGACATGGCAGAGTAAAGATGTCATCTTGCTCATCCTGCATACAGAGGTAGAATTCCAGGAGATCTTTCCTGTTCGGTTTCCTGGTGGGATGCCTGTTTCCCCAGGATCTTGCTAGCCCATCTTCTGTTTCACTGATGGTTGTTTTGGACCGGGTTGTTTTTATCACGTGTTTCTCACCTTCCAAAATGTCACAAAAGAGCTACTTACCATGAACTTCAGGGTGAGAATCAACTGTAGCAGCATAATGAATGACCAAGGGAAAGCTTCATCAATGCTGCTCAAAAAACAAAGCCTGTGAGATCTCCATGAGATCTCCATGATCTCTGTGCACCTGTTGGTTCAGCGCTGGGTGCATAAGCCAGCTATAAAGTCTGGCTGCACAAAGTAGTCATGGCATAAGTGTTTAAAAATTAAATACACATTCAACAAAACATCATCATTTATAAGCAAATAAAAGGTAGTAAATCTTATTGAAAATCTTACCTGTGTTCATCTTCTCATACAACCAAGAGTGGGATGGTCATA